TTTTTTAATTGCTGCTTCCAGGCTGTTCTCAAACATTAGCTGCAATTTTATTTTTATAATGTTTTAATGCTTTAGCACAATTTATAGCACAATTTGCACATTGCTTTGATGAGAACATTGGGAAAGACAAGAAATAGTCTTATTTTTGTTTCATTAAAAGTAAATGAATAAAATTAAGATTTGTTAAATCTATTATCAACATGGATATTATTCAGCCCTAAAACATTTACAACCCTACATCAAGCTCATTTATTTCCAGAAATCAAGAAAAGCAGGTTTCCATATGTCTTCTTGAACGTACCCACTTTTGCAGGGTTTCCACGGGTCCTTAAAAAGTCTTAAATTTAGTTGTATCAAATTTAAGGCCATAAAAGTTCTTAAATGGTGCAAGAAAGCCTTAATTATGGGGACGGAAAGACAAGAATTGCGATTTGGCTGAATGTGACGATTAAAGGGTTACTCCACCCCAAAATGAAAATTTTGTCAATCACTTACCCCCATGTCGTTCCAAACCCGTGAAAGCTTTGTTCATCTTCGGAACACTTTTTAAGATATTTAAGATATTTTGGATGAAAGGCTTGTTACTGTCCCATTGACTGCCAAGTAAATAACACTGTCAAAGCCCAGAAAAGTATGAAAGACGTCGTCAAAGTAGTCCATCTGCCATCAGTGGTTCAATCTGAATTTTATGAAGCTACGAGAATACTTTTTGTACGCAAAGAAAACAAAAATAGCCACTTTATTCAACAATTGAATAGACAGTCACAAGCCTCCCGGTTTTCATCCAAAATATCTTAAATTGTGTTCCGAAGACGAACGAAGCTTTTACGATTAATGACAATTTTTATTTTGGGGTGGAGTAACCCTTTAAATTTCAAAAGGCTCGGATTTCATTAAATAAACATGAGCACTGCAAAGTCTCCGCTATTTTTCCGTTGTAAACCGCTGTATTTCTGCCGTTCCGAAAACGCCTCCTGCTGGCAGAGAATGAATGTGCATTTTCAATCAGCCCGTCTGCTGGTTTTGAAAACTCAAACAATTAAGACCGTAAAAATATATTGGTTATTTAAATAATATAATATAATTGATACTTTTGTGAAGTTTGTTTTATAACACTTTTTTTGTTTTTGTGAAAACCTGTATCTGAACAGTAAATCATGCTTTTTACAGTCATTTTACAGTTTAATATGTGACCATAGACATTACCGTGCTCATATGGTATTAATTTTATGTGTGCAGGTCTCAATAAAGGTCTTAAAGGGGTCATGATGCGATTTCAAGTTTTCCTTTCTCTTTGGAGTGTTACAAGCTGATTGTGCATAGATAAGATCCCTGAAGTTGCAAAGACTAAAGTCTCAAAACCAAAGAGATATTCTTTATCAAAGTTAAGACTCTGCCACGCCCCCCTAAAACGGCTCGTTCTAACACGCCCCACATATCTACCTCATTTTAAATCAGTGTTTTTCGCATCAGTTCGAAACTTCTCGTCAGATAGGTTGAATCTAGACTCTGCAGTAAGGTGGCCTTCAGGAGCAGGATTGGACATGCCTGGTTTAGTGCTAATAGGAACATGGCAACCCATCATGAGTGTCTGTCACGCTTCTGATCCTGAGCTTCAAACCCCAGCCGCTGGAGCAGTGTGCCAGAGCTCGCTGATGAAGAACGGCCTCTCTCGCTGTCAGGGGAGCGCAGAGGCCCAGAATGGAAAAAGACATGCAGTGTTATCTGAGTTCCTGTCTGACCGTGGCCAAAAGCATCCCCTGCCAAAACTATAAGAGGCCTGCTTTCACAATGCCAGGATGACTCGCTGGAATGTTAGGCTCCTTTATTGATTACATTGTGTCATTTTCTAGTTTATAGTCATGTTAATGATAAGGGCTAGCACAGAAAACTACTCTGGGTTTTCATGAGACAAGCTCGTTCACCAGCACTGCAATCTGCTCAAAGAGGTTTTTGGGAGTCTCCTGAAGTGTTACGCAAACAACATCTGTCTTCGATATACACGACCTACAGGCTGTTCCTGGACACCATATGCTGGAGGATTTTTGTTTTGTTGCACTTCAACTGGCTCTCGGTTCGTATCTCGTGTGTTTGTTCATATGTGGTCCTCATTACAGCTGCTCATAAGATTAGCTGGCAGATCTTTACTCTTTGTTTGAAACAAGTGGTTGGATTTATAGAAATTGTTACTCTGTTTGCAGCCAAGTGGAATTTCTCTGCTTGATGACTTAAAGGGCCCTTTGAGGGTAACACACGCACGCATGTAGCAGCGGCTCCTAAAGGGACATAACCAAATATGAATTCAGCAATTAACTGATTTTTAATGATATTAGATTTAGGTATGTGCCAAAAATATAAAATAGACATTTTTGTTGGAAAGAAATTAATGCTTTTATTCAGCATGGATGCATTAAGTTTATCAAAAGTTATTGTAACAATGTAAGAAGTATTTACTACTTTTGAATTTGTTCATCAAAGAATGCTGAAAAAAGCAAATCAGCATATTAGACTGATTTCTGAAGATCATGTGACACTGAAGACTGGAGTAATGATGCTGAAAATACAGCTTTGCATCACACGAATAAATTACATTTTACTATATATTCAAATAGAAACCAGTTTATAATATTTCACAATATTATTGTTTTTTTTACTGTATTTTTTTGAACAAATAAATGCAGCCTTGGTGAGCATAAGAGACTTCTTTCAAAACATTATGATATCTAATATCTTACAGACCCAAAACTTTTGAACAGTATTGCCTATAATATATTAAATATTAATAAATTTCATAATCAACATCTCTGAACAGCCTGTTTGCACTGATCACAATTAAAGCAATCATGTTTAATGCCAAATGTTATTCATTTTAATCCTCCATATTCCATCCTCCTATCTCCCCGCCCACCCC